TGGTCACAAACCAAAGTGGACAAGAACTGAATGAAATTTCCCCATAAGGCCAATATCCAATCTTAGCCACTGAACGTAATTTGGTTCTCATCCAAATCAGTTTGGGGCCAAAATCATGAAAAAAAAAAAATCAAGTACCTATACGGAGATACCACTCTATAGGACATAAAAAAGTTAACACTGTATAAATAATCTGATCCCTTTGCATGTGAAATCTTGGTAAAATAACCAGAAAGGTCAAAAAGTAATAACCAGTAAATACACAAAAAGTAATCTCCATATTTAAAGGGCATCCCATCCATTTTCCTTGCTAATGGTGTCCACTGTTGTGGCAATGTAAGATTGTGTGTGATTGTACAGTGGGTGTGAGAGAGGAAGAGTGGATTGAGCAAAAGAACTGACCAAGTGTAGCACAGCTTCAGGCTGACTTTGTAAAGCAGCGTTTATGAAGTCATCTCCAGCTCTGCCGTAAGCGGTCACCACAAGCATGGTGCAGCAAAAAGCACTATCTCATCTGAAAAAGTCTCCCCAAAGCTAAACTGGACAAAGGTCCAACCACTGCTCTGCTGTCAACACGCAGCATTCGGAGAGAGCCTACAGCAGCCGGCTCAGCTGTCCTTGCAGCCTTCTCCTCTTGGATTCCTCTATCAGATACAACACACTGACAGTCTGAAATGACCTACCACGACCTCCTGTCTCACGTATCTCCTTCTTAAGTCCACTGAGTCACTTCTGTCCACCTATTGCCTAGGGTGTCATGCTTAAATTTCATGGGATTTGCTGATATAACTTCATCTAATATAGCTTGCTAAAATGTCAACACACGCATTTGATAAGCTTACTCTATGGCATCTTAGACATCCTGAAGTGATGTTGGACAGGGAATTAACTATTTCAGAGCAGCAAATGATTGGTTGATTTGGTTTCCACTAATGCCATCCAGATAAAGAGTTTCATTTTGTTTTTCATTTACAAGGGTGATTGTCAATATTAACACAATCATAATGTTTTACTAACACCTTTTCGAATTAGGGTCATTCTGACCAGACATAAGACTACCATGTCAGGTAACAGAGTAGTTTCCCTGTTTTGTTTTTTTAATCAAGCCAACTGAGAAGTGTACAGGAGGAATGATTCTAATATTTGGTCACTGGCAATAATGTATGTAGAAAACAACTTAATAGCCCAAATCACTCACTATAAATTTCAAAAAATCTTTTAAATCAGGAAAATGCTCCAGATCATCATCTCTTGATATTTCAGAAAGTATGTTCGCATTCAGACCTCCTTAACATATCTAATGAATTATTCTAATCTTGATATAATGTGAGGGCATCAAGTTAAAATGTCCCAAGTAGGCATCAGTTCATTCCTTATTTCATAACTTTTTGGTTTTAAGTGGTAAATGTCTAGACAAAAAGAAAATTCAAACAAAAAACTTTTAATTGTATTTTAGTGGAAAAAAATTTAATGCAAGTAACTTCTAAATTCAAGAAGATAAAAATATATTGCTTAAGAAAATGAGTTTTATAAAACAAATATCTCCAATGTGTATTATACATTAAAGTAGTCACTGGAAGAAATACAAGTGACTTTCTTATGCTACTCTATTGTGAAGAGTTTGGAAATTTTCTTTTATAAGGGTCTTCAAATAATTTACACTTCTTTAATGTCACATTTGATATAGAATAAGATGAAACATTAAAACGAATAATGACATCAAGTTATTCATAAATGGTAAAGGTGCAGTTAAATGAAAATTTCTTTAACCTAATTGATATATCCTATCTAAATGTCAGCCTCTATACAGTTTTTTTACTCAAAATCAAAGATAAATGACAAGAAATCCCTAGATCTGTAACACAAACTATTGCACCTAAATCATGCTCATAGTTGCCAAACTATCTGAGTATAATAGGAGGAAGCACATATTACTCAAGAGAGTATAATCCATACATTATAACAAATACTTTCAACTTACCAAAAATTAAAATCTCAATTTTATTCTCAGAGTCTGTCACCCAGGAAGTTGAAGAGTAACGAAGTTACCTAGTAAATGCTTCCCATTTCTTCTTGCCCCTGCCCACTGGAACACAATGTTAAGTAATTTTTTTGTTTGTAACTTGCTCCTGTATCCTGTGAACATGGGCAAATACAGAGGCTTGGGGATACAGACCTTATAGTTACGTAAGTTACCATCTAGGATTTCGAGCTTTCTATTGAAAACTTTTAGCTTCTTTAATCCTTTAAAAAGACATTCATTTGAAATATTCAAAATCCACTTGATAACCTTATACTAAATTGTTGGTCTATGCCTTTACAATTGACAATTTTAGCTATATAAAATATGCTACAAATTATTCAATAAACAAAAATAAAAGTAGGTTAGGAAGACTCAGGAGCCCAGGCAATGAATGTGTAAACCCACGTCCCCAGCTCTGAGAGACTCGTGCGCCCTGTGTGTAACCATCACTCAGGTGGTGAACAGGGATTGCTGAGTTCCAAGGTTTGAGTTTCTGATGTACAAGGTCAGGGAGCAGCCCCAGAATTTGCACTATCCTCAGATTCTGGGTTGATGCCAACTTTAAACATTAGGGGCCTCACTTTGAAAGTGTAACTCCAGTGACATGTAAAACAGACTTGATATATATTTTTCCACCTAATAATTGACATTTATCATAGCCAGAGATGATGACTAATACTTTTCACACAAAGCCATTTTTATTTTTGGCTAAATGACTAATCAGCCCATCAAGAGTAAAACAAAATAAAGACCACCATCCTCACGGCAGTGCCGGGCTCGGAGGTGGCACTGCCTTCTCTTTTACTGATAAGTGACTCCAGCCATTGACTCCTATTTTTCTACACTGTTAGACTTTGCCCCTTTCCACTGCTAGACAGGAGACTCTGAATGACCAAATTATCTGAATGTCCAACATGACAGGAAAATGGAGCCACTCCTTTTCAATCCTTACACTTCCAATGATCCATCCACCTCCCCATTTTTCGTACTTTTCTTTAGCCCTTTGCACGTCCACGCTTGTACTTGTACATATACATGTTCACAGACGTTCACATGATTTAAGATGCGAGTCAGAAGTCCTTTTAACTGGAACGTTCTGAACCAATGAGAAAGAAATGCAAACTTGAACTTGGAACCAGAGGAATTCAGACTGTCCCAGCCTCAGCAAGAGCCATTTAAGAATGATCTCAGCTGTCCTGATGCCTAGAATGAATGAACTGTTTGGCTGCTCAGGAGATGTGAGTCCAGCAGAGTGCTTCACTAGAGCACGAAGTGAATTCCTTCTCTCCTCGGGCTCCACCTCCTGCCTTCCTTCAGTTAGCTCTGAGGAGCCTCTATATCTCTCTCCTGCGTTCCAGAACCACCACGTAAGACACACACACACACACACACACACACACACACACACACTCCTCCACCACTGCTCCAGCCCCTGCCAAGGCCAGACAAGTTGCCTTTCATTTGGGAAGGAGAGGATGGGCAGAGGGAAATACAGATGCTTAGAGGTTTCTTGGCTGGAGCAAAGGAGGGAACTAGGACGACATGAAAGGGGAGGGGCAGATGGCACGACAGAAGGACCAGCGCTCCAGCTGGGAGCCACCTCTTTCTGATCCCAGACTGCTAAACCCCAAACAGAACACAGTAAGGGTAAAGGCTGCATCCAAGCACCTGCGTTCATCTGCAAACATCCGCCTGCGGGGCTCTGCACTTTCCCAGAGAGTTTGAGTGCCAGAGGTCCCCTGAGCACCACTGACCACCCCGCAGTCACTTTTAGGGTGTGCAAGGGAAGCTCTGACATTTGCACAAATACAAATGCCTTTGGCTCTGGGACAGCCATCGACCTTGCCCTGCAGTGCTGGGGCCCAAATCCCAGAGGGAGACAGATGCAAAGTGGGGTGGATTTCCAGCTCACCTTCCGTGGATATGGGCAGACACGTGTGGGTGAGTCCGGTCCTGCTTTTCAACATTAACCTCAGCACCACACTGTGAGGGCCCAGAGGTTATTTTGGTTTTGGGGTACTGCCTGCTAGTCCCAGGAGAAGACTTACATTTCAGCTTACTAACGTGTGGGTGTGCGTGTGTGTGCGTGCGTGTGTGTGTGTGTGTTTTAACCCTAAAGCCAAGAAAGCCAACCGCTGACAGGCAAAGGAAGCTAGAATTGCTTTTGAGGACTTCAAAGCCTTGCAATTAAAAAGCTCACCCTGCTCTTAGTCCTAAACCTCCCTGATCTGGATTTGCTAGCAGAGAGCTCATGTCGGGCTCCCCTTACAGGGAGTGGATGTCCTGCTCTGGAGCCCAGATGCGTGGACGCGGCTGTCCGTTCATTCATGCCTTTGCTCATCCATTCACACAAACACGTCCCTTAATTGTGTCTGGCACCGAGGATCTTGCCTGCGATTTCCCCTCCCCAAGTCAGTGCTCATGGCAACGGCTGGTGCAGAACGCAACTCAACTGTCACCCCACTTCCTGAGCCGGAAAATCAAGTCATGCAGGCATACACAGAAAAAAGGTGGCGAGGTGGAGGGGGCGGGTGGGGTGTGTGTGTGTGTGTGTGTGTGTGTGTGTATGGTGTGTAAAGGGCTGGGAGACTTACAGGGTCACATTCGAAGATTCCTTTCAGGGCAAACAGCGGCACTGACACCGCAGTTTGCAGGGAGCCGACCCATTATTAAATCTAAGACTGCCTGAGCCCGCGTCCCCGCGGGGGTAAATCAAGTGCAAAGCCACTTGGTTCCTGCGAGCGCGATGCTGCCGGCTCGACCCAACTCCGAGCCCGCGTCGAGGCGCCGGGGGAGCCGCTCGCAGCCCAATCCGCAGCGCGCTCGCTGCCTCCTCAACACTGCCGGTAACGTGACGAAGTGTAAATCAAATGCCACGCCGGGAGGGGCCGCGGAACGCGCGGGTCCTGCATCTGAGCTCAGCAGCCTATCTTGCCTAAGAATCACAAGGTCACCACGGCGTCGCGATGCCACTCACCGTACACTCCTTGGCCGGAGATCCCCTCGAGGAGGACTGTCAGCAGCCACACGAGTCCGTACACTAAATCCATCTTCACGTGAACATGAACATATCCAGCCCAAGGGGGACGCGGCGGGACCTTCGGGAGGCCGGCGGCCGGCCAGGCGCGCTCCTCTCGCGCCCGCGCCGCGCCGAGGTGCCCGGGAGCCGCTCGCCCGAGGAGGCAGCGCCGTCTGTCCGTCCTTCCCCGGCGGCGGCCGCGAGCCGAGCACAGGAGCCCCGCGCGCCCCGCACTCATGCACACGCACACACACACGCACTCCTCACTCACTCCCGCAGCACAGCGCCCTGACACGCTCGCACACGCGCGCCGCACTCGCACCGGGCGCCGGGGAGCCCGCGGGGCGCGGAGCCGGGAGGAGCGCGAGGCCGGCGGGGCGCTCTGGGGTCCGAAGCTCCAGTCTCTGCAGAGCCGGCCGCGCTCCTCGGCGCAGGGCAGGGGGCCGGGGCTCGGACGGCCAGGAGCAGGAAGTGGCCTCTGACCCGGGCCGAGCCGGGCTCGCTCTCCGGGCTTCTCCTTCACAAAGTAACTCGCGCAGGTCCCCAGAGGCGCGTCAGGCGGCGGTAGCGGCGCGCCCGCCCGCAGTCCGGAGCCCCGAGCCCGGCCGTCTCGCCTTCCCCCATTCCATCAGTTGCCATTGCAACGCCAATCCTGTTACGCGAGACAGACTCGCATCGCCGGGCGGGAGAGAGGAAGAGGAGGAGGAGGAGGAAGAGGAGGCGTGGGGCTGGGGGCTGGGGAGGGGGGAGGGAAAGGGGGAGGGAGGGGAGGGGTCCGGGGCGAGCGGGCAGCGGGGAGAGGGTGCGCGTCCGAGCTCGCCTGGCGCCCGCGCCGCAGCCTCCGCCGCCGCTCTCGAAATAGCCTTCAGCGCCGGCCGGCAGAGGGGTGGTCGGGCCGGCAGTCCAGGCGCCGCCGAGCCGGAGCAGAGCCGCACGGCCGCCCCGCGAGCCCACCGGCCCCGCGCGCGTCCTGCCCGCTTCCGCGCCGCCCCCGCCAGGTGGAGGGGGGCGGCCGAGGCCGGCGGGAGTTTAGAGGAAGCAACCGCGGAAGGGCTTCCCCGCCGGGCTACCGCGGTGCTGGCATCCGGAGACGAACAGGGGGCGCCCAGCCGGCTGCGTGGCCACCGCGCGGGCCGCGGCTGCGGCAGAGGAGCGGGGCTGGGCGGCCGGGACCCCGGGGTGTGCGCGGGGGTGCGCGCCGCGGCGGCGAGAGCGGAGGAGGAGGAGGAGGCGGAGGAGGAGGCGGAGGGCGAGCGGCGGCGCCGGGCGCGGGCGGACGGCTGCGGGAGGAAGGCTGTGTGTGGTCACGTTGTGCGCTACGTGCAGGGAGCGCGAGCTGCTAGCCGCAGCCGGGCGACGTCAAAGCCGGGGCGAGCCGCCTTCCTCCGCGCCTCGGCCTCCCTTGCGCCTTTCCGCGCTCCTAGCAGCGTCGGCCCGGAGCCCATCAGTATGGACAGCGCCGAGAGGCTCCGAGGCCGGCGGCATCCGGCCTGCAGTCTCCCGCCGGCCCTGCGCGGCGCCCTTCCCGGAGCTCCGCTGGGCGAGGGCCCCTGGGCGCCCGTGCTGCAGGCGTGGGCGAGCAGAAGGCCAGCCGCCACCTGGACTCGGTAATTACACCACACGGACTCGCGCTGCCTCCTGCAGCCCGAGGTCTTCCAGGATGGGCTTGGCGTGGCTAGAGGGCAGAACAGGCCACAGCTGGCTCCCGGAAAGGGCATCTCCTCCTCCAGGATTGTGTCTCCCTTAGTGGAAACACGGGCTTCACAGCGCGTGAAGAAGAGGGACACTGGTAGTTCAGGGATTATTTCACATGTGATGTCTCCCAAAGTTAACTGTTTGAAAAAGCTTTTCCCTTTGTGTGAAAGACAGTCTTTCTTGAGGACAAATCCAGCTCTGATGTTTGAGGAGCTTAAAACAAAAACCACATGGTTATAACAGGATTGCAAAATCTGAACAGGTCTAGAACCACTTCACCAAAAATTAATAGGGAAAAGCTAGGAACATAGGCTTGAGTACGATTCGTTTCTATAATCACAATAATTACTGTTTACTATACTCAGTCCACTCTGTGGAATATATTCTTCACGGTTCAAACAGAGAGGGGCAGAGACTTAACTGTTTTAAAACGTGCCTCCGTACATGTGTCCGGAAAGTAATTACTGTGGAAAATCTGGAGCGTTCATTGATTGTGCCCTTATTAGGCTGGTGTAACCATTGCAGGGCTCTCTCTTTTCAGCAGCCTTCTGTTGGGGGGCAGGAACCCCAAACACTGGAAAATGAATAGCCCTCGATGTTTACGCCAAGATCTTTTTCCTCTCCTGAGAGAAGTGTGCGTGTTCATTTGTGCAAGGTGTAAGCTAGTGGTTACCCTCGGAGTTCACAAGGCGGGAGAAGCAAGAATTTGTAGAGGGTCCCAGAGGACGGCTTGGTGTGGGGGACCCCTCACAGTATTTATGAGGGTACACTTCAGATGGAATGAAGTATCACTCTAGAAGCAGAATTCCGTGCCTGGCATTTGTGCAGGGAGATGATTGAAGCTTGGTCGTTGGTTACCTGTAGGGGGAATTTTTTTCTTATGCTTCTGTCTTTTCTAAGTAGATCATTCCTGTACACTGCAGCGCAGAGCTTCCTGGGGCAGTAAACGGCACATACTGTCTCGCATGGAAGTTCAGAACATGTCTCATCTGCGAGGATGGTCCAGGTTTTATCTGCTCGTGTACTGAAGGAGTGCCTCACTTCAACATTGGTATTGACATTTTTACCTGTTACTTATGCAAACACAGGTTCTTCCAGCGATTGTAGGACTCTGGAAGACTTTTATCATCCCTAAAGTCAAGGTATCGCTGTGAACAAAGCAAACCAGACAAAGTGAGTATGCTTAATGCACATTGTTCTTCTTCAGTTTCAGGCTTAGGACATGACTGTGGGGATGCAGGGCTTTCTTTTCCATTGAATATCATTTCTACATCAGGGAAGACCCGTACATCATGTAGTTCTCAGCAATTCCTAGTGAAATATGTGGAGCTTAGACAAGCTGGCAGTTTCCTTTATCTCAATAGTAGTTGAAATGCAAATAGAGTAAACAGCCAGGCTTGATCCTAGGTATTAAACTTCTAAGGGCTTATAAAAAAGAGTTTCTTCCTTGGAGATACACACATCCTAGTGGGCCAGATGTGTTGATCGACACCTGCAGTGCTGGTTATGTTGACACTGCAAGTCCTATAAATAAAGAGCTAAGGCACAATTTGGGAGAAATTTTGTGTGCAGCCATTTCTTCAGTGACACAATAGTGAGAAGGAAAATTGGGCTAGATGGCTTTTGGTTCATAAGAAAATATGGCACGGATTGTGGACAGATATAATTGGCCAGTTAAACTAACTGGATTATTACTGCTTTGTTGAAATTCAATGTGTAGTTAGGCTCCACTGACCCAACAGGTCTGATATGTGTAGTCACACCTAGCACTGACGGTTCCAGGCCTCCAGGTGGTGAGCCAGAGCTGAGCCTCACTCAGGACAGCAGGAGGTGTGGATCTACAGGAAGCAAGGAGCTCTCCACGGCAGCTCCAGGACTGTTTCAGAATCAGACACGGGATACTACATGTGGCTCACTTCGAGTAGCTTCCAGAAAAAGTAGCAGCACGGACTTCAGAAATGACCAGTTTCTTGGAGTTTCATGCCCAGCACGAATGCTACAGGGAACACAGTACACTAAGGCGTTCTTCCATTGTCCATGTTGCTTTATTACCAGGGTGCGTGCAAGAGTATTTGTCCTCTAGCAAGCACAACAGTGGACATTTTCCTTTGTGATAACAGGTTAGGAAAACACAAGGGCTTTTCTCTGATACCTTGAATTACCTTAGTCAGCTGTTGTACTCGGAATGGCTGTAGTTTCGTTTAGGATTCCTGCCTCCATTCCCCAGAAGGATCATGACGTTTCAGCTGGAGTCCCATGAGGTGGCAATGGCATGGGGGAGGTCACAAGATCAACTCAAGGCAGTAGGACAGAAATAAGTTAATAACTGGTATATCTACAGCTGTACGGCATAGGCTAAGTGCAGACCACTAAAGGCAAGTTGGTTTTTCTTTCCCATGTATCCCTTAAGCCCAATCCAGATACCAGGCCTTGTGTATTACTTACATTTTTTTTTCCTGTTGCAGGACTATCCAGTTAAATCATGCAAGTTCTCTTTCACCTATTGCCTGGCTAGCTTTTAAAATCCAAAGAGAGCGTGAAGGGGATTAGTGGTATACAGGCAATCTCTTGGGAATTCTGCACACTTGGAATATCGCTCCACACATTGTATGAGGAAGCAATAAAATACCCAGTGAGTAACCGGAAAAGTGCAGTCCACATGCAAAGTGAGGTGCCCTGCAGAGGCTGAGCGTGTAGGTGCTGCTTTGAGAGGACGCCAAGGCAGCATGTAACCAGACAATGGGGCTGAGCTCTAAGATGTACTCTGGTGCCACCTGAGGACTTCCTGACAAACAGGAAAGTAGCTCCAGAGGCAAAATCACAAAGCAAGAACCTCAGTGTTTAGATGGCGCTTTCAGCTTAGAAAAAGTCGCATAGTGGGGCAAGTTCTCCCTCCCTCAGTCAAGAGCGCTAAATATGCTCATGCTGGTTATTAGTTCTAGATTCTCAGAATTTGTGAACTAACACTTTTTGTACCAGTCATTATCTAACCCCATCGTTCAAAGCTTGTGTTGCAGGGCATGTTGCCCACATCTAGCATCCCAGCACTCTGGGAGGCTGAAGCAGAAGGATCAGACATTCGAGGCCAGCCTGAACACATAACGACTGATCCTGAGCCTGTTTTGCAGCAAATAAACAAAATTTTTATTTAAGAGCTAGGAATATTGCTCAGTGCAAAAGCCCAGGGTTCAGTCCCAGGAAAAGAGGTAGATCTTATGCTAGATTCTGCAGTCGAGTGATTTTAATAGCCTGTTCTACATTTACTCTTACTCTGACACATTTTCCTCAAAGTCACAATACTGACTCTGTTTTGTAGAAAGACACAAGACTGAGTTATATCTGAGTAGGGGCTCAGCGCTGGTCACTATAACAAAGTAGGTAAACATCTAAATGCTTTCCATCAGACCGCCCTGGGCGTCGCTTTCTGTGACCTTGACAACTTCTTCACTCCATAATAGGAAAAGAGCAAAAGATTACTTAAGAGTTTTAAATGCAGGTAAGATACCATAGTTCAACACCTTGCACAGAGTGATTACATGGTATCACTATTAATGCTTTCGATAGTTTTCTGTTTGTTGAAACAGAGCATTGATACACGGGACTAGGAACTTGAATGGTTTCCTCCCGGGATTAG